TGTCCAAGTACACCTGTGTTGGATTTTTTTAATTCCCCCCCCCTCTTTAAAAACCTCAAGTGGGTGTTTGAATGCTCGTTCCACCTGGCCTGCTAAATTTGGGGCATGTCAACGCACCCTCTCTGGCTCTTCCTTGGGCTTTTTCTGCAAAGTTGGGGTGAGTAGATTTTTTTTAAAAAATGCATCTTTTCTTGTATTCAGCCCCCCCCCCCGTGTGTGTGCGCCGATGCGCACTGTGTTTATTGTACTGGCTTTGTGGGTAAGGAATGATAAAGAAAAAAACGGTCCGGAACTGCATGAGTGGCAGCAAGGAATTCGGAATAAAATTTTTGATGGCAAGCGGGGTGTTTATAAAGGATGCTCGGTCCGTAACCTTCTGCCTTGGGCATGGTTTATTTCTTGAATATTTTGTGGGAACCTGCCGGGTTAAGGCTGAGAGACCCCGATTTCTGCCTTCTTGGGGGGCTGCGTTTCTGTGCTATAAGTTATGGGCTGACGTGATAGTGTAGATATGGCACCTGGAAAGTAATTAAAGGGAGCAAAGATGAGAGAAAGGACTAGGGAATGGGGGTGACAGAATTAACACACTTTCTTATCTGTTTTTGCTTTCTGATGAGTTGAGGCCAGGAATCCTGGTGGGTGAGAAATCTTTCAGTAATTACAAACGTATATATCATTTTTGCACTGAGAAACAATGTGTTGATTTCCTCTCGGTTGAGGCTAGGAATCCTGGTGGGTGAGAAATCTAAATGTATATATCATTTTTCCACTGAGAAACAATGTGTTGATTTCCTCTCTGTCCGAAACCACAAACTAGAAATTAGGGCCATGTCTGTGGATGGAACAGAGGGGCTGTTTCTGTCCTTTGAGCGTCAGGAGGGCTCAAAAAACAGGCCCATAGTTCTGGGGAAGAATGAGGATTTTCCCTCGGGAAGTTCTTCGGAGACCGTGACGAAATTTGGGCCGCTTTCCATTGAGGCTCCCTCTTTCTCTGTGCGCCTCGACAAAAGCATAATCCGTTCAGTCGTTCAGAAAGGCAACTCAAGGTCCCATGAACTGGGATGAACTGGTTTCGGCCACTGGTTTTTGTGCGTGAAGCTCCAGGAGGATGCGACTCAACTCCAACGACACCTGCGTCGATCATGTTGTCTTTGGAATTTTGATGCTGCCTCTGTGCCGGAAGCTGATTTAGGGTGAACGTAGATCTCCCTGAGTCCTAGACTGATTCTTCTCTAGAAAAGGATTTTTTAAAAGGTTTTGCTTCGGGAGAGAAACTGGGTTTTTCAGCTCTGCTCTCTATCTCTGACGGAGCAGGAGGTTAACTACGTCTGAAAGGCATTTTGGCTTGTGTATGTTCTCCTGGGTACCACAGCTCATTGGTGTTTCCTTCCCCCCAAAACCAAGGGCTCCTTCTGCCTTAAATGCAAAAGCAGATGTAAAGACCTACACAGATGCTGGTTATTCCCCTAAATACCAGCTTGTTTAATACTTCCTTCTACCTTTCTTTCAAATCAGCTGTTTTGCACGGCTACGATGCCCTTTCTGTGTCTTCTAATCCTCGCTTCCTCAGCTATAGGCGTTTTCCCATGGACAGGGTGTTCCTGTTTTATTTTTTAAAAAGACTCTCAATCATTATATGCAAACATGCAGTTTTTCCCAACTCCGTCACTTGCCAACAAGTTGAACCACACCTCCCATCGTCCACAGCCGATTTTAGCAAAAAAGCAGCCAAATGGCGCCTGAAAAAAACGGCAAGTTTTATTTAACACGAAACTTGGAGTGACGTTCTCAAAAGCTTGTGTCTAAATAATAATAATAATAATCTAAGATTGCTACAACGTTGCAGGATGTCGATAGTGTTTCGTTTATTTAAAATTCTCCCCAGGGGTTTAAATAAACACATGTCTATGTATACAACATACCCTACAGAAAACCAGTCTCTGTTTATCCAGAATGTCTTGTTGTCCAATAGGTAGAAACAAATAAAACTTGCCATGGGAAGAACAACGCAGTCCCCCCCAAAATTTAAAGCTGTTGCTTTGATCAGAGATGGCAACTCTGAAAAAAACATCTTGGTCGGTTTTAACCCCTCCATTGTGACTAGAAAAAAAATCAGTTATGGAAGCAAATTAAAAATGTGCCGCTCCAGTAACGGATTCCGAGTTTGGGTGCAACTTTTCGGTCTTTTCTGTCGCCCAAAGCCATCTTCTTGTAAAGTTCGCTGCAAGGCGTGGAGGGGAGGCAACCACTAAAGTTTCGTGATTCTGAAAAAGTTGGCCGGCCTTGTGCGTTGTGTCAAGCAGAGTAGACCCTTAAAAAACCTCGTGGGTAGCATCTTAACAATCCAGAAGTCTTGAGGGTGGACTCTTATAAGCCTCTCTGATATTATTGTGGTTGGAACAGCCGCCAAACAATGACCCATCTATTTTTGTGTCTGTGGGGAGAGACACACGGGTCACAGAGACGAACTGCTGAGTTTGCCCCAGGAAGGAGCAAATTCGGAAATATTTCCAAAGTTGCTTCCAGAGCAAAGTTTAACCAAACTTGCCTTGAAGGCAATTCTGGGGAGACTGACCAGAGCAAGCTGTATTTTACTTGCAGGAGAATTAGAACAGAACTTTTTTTGGGGGGGCACTTGTCCAGGAAGGATAATGGCAAATAAAACGTGCAAGCTTTAAGGGTGCCACAAAGCTTTTTTTTAAGGTGTCTGTTATGGCCTTTCTTCTAGATTTTTCCTCCTGGTGGTGGTGGGCTTTCCAACCATCTTTGCGCCTCGAGGGAAGTTAGTTTTGCCCAGAATTGAAATCAACACTTCAATATCATTTCCACCTTGACGGATAAACCCAGAAACTTCAATTTTGTTTGTGGGGAGGAAGAGTTATTTTCTGAAGTACATATAATATGAGGAGAAGACCAGCTCTAGGACATTCATATGGCGTTTGAGGGGCTGTTTGAGATTTTGGAAGGGGGTTCAAAAGATTCCTGGATGGTTCTCCATCTGTTCTGTGCTCTTGGAAGCGTGATGGAGAATCTTAACAACATACAAGATGGGGGGCTAATAGAAGAACCCAGATCTGTGGGGGTTTTTGTACCAACGAAGAGATATTTATTTTTATTTATTTTTGTGGCCTACTCTTTCCTTGAAGGAAAACCCTTTTATTCCCCAAGACAGCCATGCCGTGTTCTGTACGGTCCATTTTGGGTGGCGATCCGATGCATTTTTTGCCGCTGGCTCTGGAGACGGAAAATAATTTTGTTTTTTCACACGCAGAAGTTGTTGGGAGATGCTGGAATTGTGTTGATGTTGCTTTGTGGTCATCCCTCACTTTTTTCCTCTTTTTTCCTTTGGGCTTCTGGTTAAACAGGTGTGGTAGGTTTTCAACAAAAAGCCTGCAGCACCTGTCTACGCAAAGCAAAAACTGAGGAGGAGTAGGCCTTTAACACATTGCTAGAGACAATCCATTGCTACAGCCTCCCAAATTCAGCTCTCTTGAAAAGGGTGTGTGTGTGTGGGGGGAAAGGATCCCTCTTTTTTTATAATTGGGTTTTCCCTCCCTCATTAGAGGAGGGGGAAAATTGGGCAGCTTTGGGTCAATTTTTGTGATCCGTCTTTTTTTTTATAATTGGGTCTTCCCATCCCTCATTAGAGGAGGGGGGAAATTGGGCAGCTTTGGGTCAATTTTTGTGGCTCAGCCATGATCAACACCTGGCACCACATCCAGTTGATAGCCAAATGTCAAGTCGAACCCTTGGATTAAATGTTGGCAGATGAGCCGTTCCATCATCCCACTGATTCAACGGGGGTCTCCTCTAAGTGGGACGGTTACCTGGAGGGCCTGAAGGCCAGAACTGAGGGAAACGAGCGCTCTTCCGTTCTTTAACAGGGACTCCACCTTGAATGGTTTATCCATTCTCCCTCAGCTTTGTCATGGGGGGTGGGTAGGACCGGCCGCCATGTTGTGACTGGAGGACCCCCCCCCAAAGCCACGTCCAACCATAAGCTCTGGGGAGGGGTGCGTGGAAGGGCTCAAAAGAGATCTGGGGCTCACCTTTGCCCCCGCGATGGGGCTTGAGTGATGGGGGAAAGTCATGGGAATCTCACCCCGAGAGCATCACGTGGGCCGGGCAGATGGGCACGAGGAAACCGGGGGCCATTGTGTCGGGCGAGGGGGACAATAGGCCCATCCTCGGCCCCTTCTGACCCAGCTCATTGTTCCTCCTTCTCTGTCCCCCTCTCCCTTTCCATGCCTCTCGGCAGCCAGACCCGCCAGGCCGTTGCTAGGGCCGGCTTGAATGGTGGCATCCATCAAGATGTCAAGCTGGTGTGTGTGTGTGTGGGGGACAATCCTGTACCTCACCCCTCACACCGACAGAGTCCATTGTCATCCCCTGCGTTTAACATTGTGGCAACCGCCCGGGCTTGCTCCCCGAGGAGGCTAAAAGGGTTTTTCTCACCTCCCCCGGAGAGGGCTTTCCATCTGTTAGGCCCGTGAAGTTGAGGGGAGAACCAGCCTCGGACAGACGGCGGCCTAAGCAATTTTGCCGCCTGAGAAGGAACAGCACCGAGGGTGCCTAGTCCATGGGGTGGCCGGGCTTTTTCAGGACGAGAAACTTTACAAGCCAGGATGCGTGGCCTTGACAGGAATGAGCCCACAAGAGACAGGGCGGTGTAGTGGTTAGAGCGCTGAACCAGGATTACAAAATTCAGTCAATCTGGATGGAGCTTTATGTTTGTCTCTCCAAATTGCCCCCCCCCCCAGACACTCTCTCTAACCCATGCTGAGTTTTCCAAACCTCCTCCACAGCCCTGCTCAGCAATTCCAAACCCGATCCTGTGGCTTCTTTATGGAGTCCGTCCCTCTAGCATCCGGGCTTCCTCTTCCCCTAGTTTCTGGTGGAGTTAATTTAGGGAGGGTGGAAGACCAGCGGAAGGCTTGAGCCTTTCCAGGGAATTGGGCCACCTGACAAGAGGGACTAGGAACTTGTGTATTCCCGGGAGCATGGCTGCGCATGGTGGGGGGTTTGGAAACATCGGTGCACCCTGTTCCTCCACTTTTGGGGCCTCTCTGTATATTTTCCGGGCGCCGTTCCTTGCCGGAGAGATCAGAGAAAGAGGTGGAGGAGGCAGAGAGGGAGGGGGGGGCGACACGGCGGGGCTGGGGTATTTTTTGGGCCTCGGCCAAGACGGTTTTGTGAATGGAAGTGACTCTGGGCTGTGGTCTCAACAGGGTGCCGAAGGGGCTTGGGGAATTCAGCTTTGAAGCTCCACAGCCTCTCCTGCCTAGAAGCCAAGAGGCTCTTAATGGCTCTAGTTTACCGGCATTGTTTGTGAGCGGCCAGAGTCAGTTGATGGGGGGGACGCAAGAGAAAGGTGGCGGAAGAGGAGGACACAGAGAAACGGGACTTAGCACCAGAATCGCGGAGCATGACTCAGAAGAGGAGCACTGTCGCCCCTCCGTTTGTTGTGGCCTGCGTGCTATAACCTTGGCACATGTAAAATATATACAGCAGGGACCCGGTCTCCACAGATGATTGGTCCCAAGTCCCCCTCCCGGGGTGTTTTTTCATGTTTCATCCCATCCTTTTATCAGTCTTAAGTGGCCAGGGAAGAGTTGTTTTGTTTTTGCCCAGTATTTTCAATGTGCAGTATCAGAACAGGTCACAAGGGGGAGCTAGAGAATATGTTTCTATAATTTTTTTTTGATGTGCCGATCTGGCAAGGCTAATACATAAGGCAATGGATTTCCCCCACCCCTCCCAGATAGAACGACGACAATGATGATGACAGCAGTAACTAACAGTAACTTTAGTTCCGCTAAATAAATAAATAGTCCCAAGCTCTCTTGTTTTTCCCTAACAGGCCTAGCCCACCCTTCAGAGCTGGCGTTTGTCTTGGAGCCCAGCGATGTGATTGCCGTCCGGGATCGGCCGCTCCTCTTGCACTGCCACGTGGAAGGCGAGGCGCCCATCGCCATCACCTGGTACCGCAACACCGCACCCCTCTCCAATGATAGCCGCGCGGCCATCTTAGCCAACGGCTCGCTTCACCTGGAAAGCGTCCACCGGCGGCCCCGGGGAGGGGCTGGCGGGGGTCCTGATGCCACAGCCAACGCCACAGATTCGAGCGCCGGAGAATACAGCTGCACCGCCCAGAATCGTTACGGTCTCCTCGTCAGCCGCAAAGCTCGAGTCCAGATTGCCAGTAAGCTTTTTTTTGGGTCCCCATATCTTTTTTTGGGGAAAAAAAATCATATTTGCAGCTGCTTACAAAGTGTCAAAACAATGACACCATGAAAACAATGGAAAAGTTCGTGGGGTGGGACGGAAAATAGAGAGTGAAAATTAAAAGCAACAAGACTGGAAGAACAGTTTGAGTTTTTTGAGCAAGGTGCCAACACAGAGAAGGCCCCATCTAAGGTTTCTAAGGAAGAAAATGGAAGCCAGAGGGGTTTGTTCAACACCATTATTTTAATGTCCTAAAGATGGACACGAGGTTTAATTTTCGCCTTCCGGCTGTAGTTCCTGAACAGTCTTCAAGCAGAGCCCCATCCACAGCAGTTTATGGTAGTCTAGCTTTGGCAGTGGTAGAGAAGAGACTGGTGGTCAGGACGTTCGCAGGGCGTCCGAGGGTGACCTTCTCCCCTTCTCTCCTTACAGCCTTGTCCAAGTTTCACATGCATCCCGAATCCATGTCGGTAGAAGAGGGAGGGGTTGCACGTTTCCAGTGTTACATCCAGGGAGTCCCAGAAGCCACCATCACCTGGGAGCGCAACCGCACGGCCTTGATGACGGATGATTATCGGTGAGCTGGGTGGAAGCCAGGGAGTGGCGGGGTGGAGAATAAAACTGGGGGGAGAAGAATAGGTTCTAAGTGGAACTGATGCTGTCAGACCCCAGTGTATGGATCCGAGGAAGCAGGTAATGGTTTGCTCAAGTTCAAGCTTTCATTGTTACTCATTAAAGTGCCATTGGCGATGGAAAGGGTCAACAACAATTGTGTCCAAAGTGTAGGTGGGTCATGAGAAGTTCCTACCACATGACGTAGGATCTGAAGGACTGGCATTGGTGATGCTCATGAAGGTGGGGTGATAAAGGGTCATCCTTTTCTAATGGTGTCTTCTCTCTTTCTGCCCCACCCCACCCCACAGGTACACCTTGCTTCCCACAGGCATCCTGCAGATCACAGGGGTGAGGCGTTCCGATGTGGGCACCTACCGCTGCGTGGCCTCCAACATTGCCAACACTCGCTACAGCCAGGAGGCCACGCTGAGCATCAGCGGTGAGCATTTGGGCTTTTTCCCAGGACGGCATGGCGTGACGTCGGAGGGCTGAGAAGATTCCTCTGTACTTTGGGGAGGGATCTGAGTCAAGAAGGGGTGTCCGGAAAGCAAAAAGCAGAGATGATGGACAGAAGCTGGTGGCTTTGATGAGCGACTTATTGATGAGGTGCTCGTTGCGTTCTTGGACGTGTGGTGTGCAGTGCAGGAACGCAACCAGCACTTGGTTGATAAACCTCAACTTGCTGTCAAGATTTACGCAGTTTTCCATACATCAGCAATAGGATTCTGGCCCCAGTATTTTTCTCGATCCACTTTGTGTTGTGATAAGGTAGTCACAGAGTATGAAAGCTCAACTCTACTCATTTTCTAGTCAGCTCAGCGTTTCTCCCTCTGCCAACCTCTTCAGGATGACGGAGTGCTCACTTGTCTCACTTGACCCTGTTCTCTCCTTCCAGTCTCCGCTCCCAAACTTTACAAAGAGCCCGTCATCCTATCGGGCCCACAGAACTTGACCATCACGGTTCACCAGACGGCTATCTTGGAGTGCATCGCCACTGGCAACCCCCGACCCATTGTGTCCTGGAGTCGCCTGGGTAAGCGGGAACAGAGGGACATGGAGATTGTGTGGGTAGCGGAAAGCAGGACTATGATGACATGCTGTAGTAGATAGAGGGGAAGCTTGACTCTGATGAGGAAGAAAAGTTAATCTATGATGGAAAGAAGGGGCTGTAAATTTAGTAGATGGAGGGGAAGATTTACTCTGATGAAGAGGGAAGTTAAACTATGATAGAAGAAGAGGATGGTAGTAGATAGAGGGGAAGCTTGACTTTGATGAGGAAGAAAAGCTAAACTATGACAGAAAGAAGGGGCTGTAAATTTAGCAGATGGAGGGGAAGATTTACTCTGATGAAGAGGGAAGTTAAACTATGATAGAAGAAGAGGATGGTAGTAGATAGAGGGGAAGCTTGACTTTGATGAGGAAGAAAAGCTAAACTATGACAGAAAGAAGGGGCTGTAAATTTAGCAGATGGAGGGGAAGATTTACTCTGATGAAGAGGGAAGTTAAACTATGATAGAAGAAGAGGATGGTAGTAAACAGAGGGGAAGCTTGACTCTGATGGGCAGAAAAGTTATATTATGAAAGAAGGAGGGGGAGTTTTGTTGTGATGTGGGGGGAGGAAAGGAGGCAGGACACCTCCCCTCTTTGCAGCTCTTATTAGCTCTTTCTCTCCCCAAAGATGGGCGCTCCATTGGGGTTGAAGGCATCCAGGTCCTCGGCACCGGCAATCTCATGATCTCCGACGTGTCAGTGAAGCATGCCGGCGTTTACGTCTGCGCGGCAAACCGCCCCGGCACCCGTGTGCGCCGTACGGCGCAGGGCATCCTCATGGTTCAAGGTACGATTGGCCAGGAAAACAGTGGGATAGTGGCTGGAAAGCAGGTTTTCCTGGATTGGGCTTGGCTGCTTGTCTCCTGCTGGGAGAGCAAGGTGGGAGGTCAGAAACCTGCCAGTGGAAAGGAAAAATGGGTGGGGTGAAGTTACACATGCCATGTGTAATAACAACAAGAATAACAACCATAATCTGGATCATCCAGTCCAACCCTTGTCCAGGAGACCGGCTCAGTGGGGAATCGAACTCCCAGCCTCTGATGACTAAAACACTTGCGCTATCCTGCAAGGAGAGTGCCATTCTGAGCATGCACAGAGTGCCTGTCTTTGGTCAGCAAGTAGCTGCACCCCAACCTCTACCCGTTCTTCTGACTGACACACAACACAGTGATGTGGAGGAGTTGTAGCACCCGGGATTATAAACGCTCTGCGGCTAGCTGTTGTGTTGTGCACAGTTGTTAATCGGAATTCAAGACCCTTATGAATTCCCCCAACAGAAATGGACAGAGACACGAAGGCTACAAAGTGGAGTGGAGGAGTTGTAGCAATGGGGCTTATAAACGCTCTGCGGCTAGCTGTTGTGTTGTGCACAGTCACTGTTTTCCTGGAATAGGCCGATGTTCTGACCGACACAGAAGCATCTCAACCCTCCATTGACCTCTGTCTTCGGCCCCAAAGATGGCCGACTCCCCATCATCACTCTGGCGCTCATCTGTCCCTCTCCATCCCTCTCCATCCCGGGTCCTGATATTGGTTCCATTCGGTCCCATGGCCTGCTCTCGCGCCCCCCACCCCACCCCGCCCGGCTTTCTCCTCTCCGGAGCTGATGAGAAGCCAGGATCGAACTTGCCCCCCCCCCCAGCATGGCCATCGATCCTGGACCGGGGTTGGGATAAAGAGAGACGAGGGGGTTGATGCCGTGACCCGTGCATGGGGGGGACAAAGGGCCGCGGGGTGATTGATGGAATCAAACCCGTCTCCCTCCCTGTCAGGAGCGACGGTGGCCAAAGAAATGGACCTCGGGTGGCTTTGAATTTGGAAATGGTGGGAGAGGGGTCGGTTCCTTAAGAGAGTGAGAGAGGAAGGTCTTGCGGGAGGGGGAAACTGATGATGGAGAACCGTGGGGTTCACCCTAGAGATTTCCTTCACCCCCCCATTCAAAACTTGATCTTCTATTGCTCGAAGGTCAACAGCATTGAGATGCCGTGGGCTGGAATCGGGAGCCCGAACTGAGTCACAGAAAAGGGTTCAGGGCAGTCCCATCCCAGCTGGGAATCGCACACTTGACTTTGTCATCATCCTCTCTTGACTCTTCCTCCTCCTCCTCCTCTTGAAGGCCTGCTTCATGGAACAGTGGGGGGGGGGGAAATTGGGAATATCATGGAGAGGCAGAGCGGCAGGGAAAACAGGGACCAGAAGCCTAGGCGGGTTAGCAAAAGCTGCACACTGGGTCCAGGCAGAGGGAGATGTTTTCTCACCTGTGGTTGGGAAGGGGTTCGGATTCAGGAGTGAAGGAACTGGCCGATAATATTTGGGTAGGACAAAAAAAATAGGAGGACAGGTGGATAGACAGGCAAGGGTCTCCTCCTTCCTAACCTACCAAAATTTAAAAGAAAGAAACAAGTTTAGGCAATGGAGCCTTTTGGCCAACAAGCTGGAAAGGCGGGCTATGATTTTGCAATGCCCAGCGGCCAAGACCCATGTGCCACGAAGGGAACTCATCCCTTTCCTCAGACAGAACACAGCATCATCCTGCTCTGATTGAGATGGGAGGTTCGGACCGTCAGGCAGAGAAGGGGTCCTTCCGGGCACTGAGTTTTATGCAGGCCTTCGGAGGAGAAACGCCCGGGGATTTCAAACCCAGGACTTTCTGCAGAGCAGTTTTACTGAGCGGTGGCACCTCCGGCTTACGAATCTCGAGTCTTGTTCTCTATTTGGGCCGGCCTACCGCGAGGCAGTGTCAAGCGTCTGCCTCCCGTAGCAGATTTTCAAAGCCAAGACGCCAGAAGATGGTTCAGGATTCCAGTTTTTTTTAAAATAGTTGTATATTTCTTTCTAAGTTGGGTTCCTCCTCCTCTTCTGTGCCACAGGTCCAAATTAGGCATTTAAGTGGTCCGGCGCCCCTTAAAATGGGGTAGGCGAGCCGGGGGGGGTGCCCTTGACTGCTCCGCCTCAGGCGGCCAAATGCCTCGGGTGGCCTGGTCCCTTATCTGATCGAGGAATGGCTTTATGAAGTCCCCGTTTTCCAACACCAAAGGAAGGGTTCAAGCCGGCATATGCTTCGGGGTCACCCCAGAGGCCAAGGGGGGTGGGATCGGCCACTGTTCGCTCCCACACCCCTCATCAATATGCCACAAACCCAGGGCCGTCTGGAGAAAACAAAGCTGTTTTCCGAGCAAAGGGGCTGCCTTTCTCCCCCTCTCGGGGAGGGAAGGGCCCCCGCCTTTGTCCGGGGCGAGGAGATGGGGGTCTCGTTGCTCTTTTCCCAGCCCTAATGAGATGCGTCCCGTCTCGGAAGCTTAAAGCCGCTTTTCGGGGAAGAGTGGCAGGCCTTTCAATGTGACATCTGCCTCCGTGGCCAGCTCCCACGCTGAGGCCGGCGGTGGGGTGTCCCCGGCGTAGCTTGGGGGGGGGGGAAAGGCCACGATCCGGGCCTCTTTCTGCATCAACCTTTCCGAGTCCAAAACCCAGAGAGGATGATCCTGCTGCACCCACTTGAACCGAGCCAGTTTGGTGGTTTTTTTTAAAGTTGGAAGATGCTTTGATTTCTTTTTAAATCCAATTTAGCAAGTGATGCACATAAGATGGATGGAGCCGGCTTGTCTCTCGGCTTCCACTCCCTCCCGTGTGTGCGTGCCAAACGCAGGGAACGAGGCTTCCCAAAAAGGGTGAGGATGGATACAGGAGGTGTGGGGTTTCGCACTCAACTCCCCCCCCCAAAAGCTGCTATTATTCCAGGTTTCATGAGGATGGGGAAGAGGAGGGAGAGCCAAGCTGGAATAAGTAGCATGAGGCGGTGTTCAAACTTTGGGCTGAAAATCAGCACCGATGAGGCAAAAGGGGGGGGGGTCAAGGAAGAGAAGTTTGGGGTTCCTTTGAGGGGGACATCATCTAGTCCAGCAGGACTAGGAGGGCCCCCCCGATAGGTGGTAACTTTCAGAGCGGTGCCTCAAGAGGGACCCAAGATTTCTGATCAGTGCAATTTGTAGGGTGCATGGACCGTCATGTGTGATTTGAAGGCGACAGGGTCAAGCAAGGCCATCATTTGGTCTGTGTCCCCCCCCTCGAAGTCATCTTTAACCCCTGAGGGAGGGAGGTGACCCCGGCAATCGGAATCCTGAGGGAGCCGGCCCCGGGCCCCGGGAATGGCCGAGGGAAATTATCCTTGCGCCATCTGAGGCCTCTGAGCAAGACAGGCTGCTCAGGAATCGGAGGAGGAGAAAAATTTAAAGGCGGCAGGAAAGCAAAAGTGCGATTTTTCACGTCGCAGGCTGAGAACACCCGTCGGCCACATTGTCGTCATGCGTAAAAAAAACGTCATTTTGGCACTGGCTGGAATATTATTGCTATGTGGCATCAAAGTCACCCCGAACCTATGGCAACCTTATGCCTGAGCAATCTCTGAAATGGCCTATACTCAACAACCCTACTCAACCCTCTGGCTTCGTTTAGGGATTGATCCATCTCATATTGGGTCCTCCTCTTTTCCTGCTGCCTTCCACCGTTTCTAACATGATGGGAAATCTTCTCATGAGGTGCCCAAAGTAGGACAACCCCCCCCTTTCAACAGTTTTTGCTTCCAGAAAGCGTTCAGGCTTGATTTGATCGAGGACCACCCCACCCCATCCGTTCGTCTTTCTGGCCATCCCGGGGTATCCACAAAGCTCTCTCCTCCAGCACCCCTTGTTTGTCTTTCTGGCCATCCCAGGGTATCCGCAAAGCTCTCTCCTCCAGCACCCCGTTTCAAATGGATCCATTAAAAAGCCTCCAGTGTGTTCCCGTTTCCAATGGATCCATTAAAAAGCCTCCAGTGTGTTCCTAAATCTGTGAAAGAGAAGAGTTGGGAGTAAACTGGGGTTAATTTCCTTAGGGATCTGACCTTCTTCCGTTTTGATGATTTGGCATTCAACCAGGGGGTGGACTAGATGGTCTCAAAAAGGGTCCCTTTTAGTTCTGCGATGGCAGGGGGGCGTCCTGCAGGATTGTTTTTGCTTCCAAACCTGCACTTCCTGGGAACGCTTTTGATCTTGCAGTTTAGCAGAGGGCGCCCAAGAATTCCAAACGGGGACTATTAAATTCAATGAGCCTTAATTTATTGAGGGAGTTGATAGCAGACTCTGCATTGAATTGGGGTGGGTCAGATTAGATGACCACCTGCATTAAACACAGGTCAGGCTAGATGATCTCTAAGGATGATGTTCTGGAGTTCCAAGGACAGCGTTGCAAGGATGTTTCAGCTTTTAAACCAGGGCTTCCCGGTTCGTTTTGGGATCTCGAAGACCGGTCGAGGCATGGTGCCGTCCCTCAGTGTTCCTCTCTTCTTCCTCAGCCCCACCCGAGTTCGTGCAGTGGCCCCAATCCGTCTCCAAGCCGGCCGGCGGCAGCGCCATCTTCACCTGCGTCGCCCAGGGTGTCCCTGAACCTCACCTGATCTGGCTGAAGAACGGGAAGGTCCTGGCGCCCGGGGAGAACGTCCGACTCACCCACAACAACAGGTAAATGGGGAAACCGAGGCACCCGGTGGGCAGGAGGCACTCGCCTTAACAAAAGCCGTCGGGGAACAGCCCTGTGAAGCTTGAAAGATTTATAGCATTTGGCTGATTTGCCTTATTTATCGGCTGCTTTTCCCCACAATAAGGGGACTTGAGACGACTTTGTCCGTAGGAAGGTGGTAAAACAGGGCCCTGCCAAACACGGTTTCTAAATTGTCAAATTCTTGGGGCTAAAAATGCTTTTAAACTTGGTTCGAACCTCGATTGGAATACTGACAAAGGCCTCACCGGTTTTTCATATCGTTTTCAATGGTGTTTTTTTTTTTTAGTGGTTTAATTGTTGTAAGCTTCTTCGGGTCCCCTAGCAGGGGGAAAGGTGGCACCTAAATAATATTACATCAGTAAGTGCAAATAAATGGATGAAACTGTCGTGGTTAGGGGAGATACAAAGTCTTGGGGGGCAGTCAAGTCGTCAAGGCAGCAAAACGGGTCATTTTCTATAAAACTGCTCGGTGACGCTTTCCAAATTCTGACGAGCGATTCCAGACATCGAGGCCTCTTTATTTGTGACCCTTAGAAGTCAGGGGACATAAAAATGGAGGAATCTTATTTCATAGACGCAAGACTGCTCCACCAGTGTTTTTAAATCACCATCATCTTGGCACTGCTGAACTGGAAAGGGACCCTGTAGGTCATCCAGTCCAGCCCCTGTCAAGGAGGCCCGGGGAGGGGGAGGATTCGAATTCCCAACCTCTGGCTCCACAGCCGGAGACCCAATCCATGGAGCGATCTATGCTCATTCCTTTGCAATCCTCTTGAATCGATCGCGTTGGGTGGCTCAAAAGCCGGAGGTTTATCATTTCGGCATCGCCGCTTTTTGTAATCCGACTCAGGGCCGGCCGCCTCGCGCCCCACTTTCTCCCTCCGTGCTGTGCTTGACGCCTCCCCCCGCTCAACACTTTTGCCGTCTTTTCCTTCAGCACCCTCATGATTCAACGCATCACCTCCGCGGACGAAGCGATCTACCAATGCATTGCCGAGAACAGCGCAGGCACCAACCAGGCCAGCGCCCGGCTGGCGGTGGCCCTGGCGAAGGAGCTGCCCAGCTCTCCCGAAGGGGTGCAGGCCTCCGCTTTGTCCACCACCTCCATCCAAGTCTCTTGGCTCAAACCCCCCATGGAAGTGACCGAGGCCATCATCGGTTACGTCCTCCACATCCGCAAGGCAGGAGGTGAGTAACCGCCATCCTCTGAGACCTGGAAGAAGACCCTATGGATCTTCCCTGTTAAGGAAGCACAGTGGGGAATCAAGCTGGAAGAAGACCCTATGGATCACGTCCCTGTTAAGGAAGCACAGCGGGGAATCAAACTCCCAACCTCTGGTTCCACCACCACCACCCCGACTTGGGCTCCTTTGACTTTACTGGCCACGGGCTGCGGCTCCCCCAGTATGATACTTTGGGCGAGGGAGGGAGAAACGACTACCTCCTAAGAGTCTGTGGCACCCCTGGCTGGATTTGACACCACCCCTCCCCAACTTGGGCTCCCTTGACTTTACTGGCCATGGGCTGCGGCTGCCCCAGTATACTTTGGGCGAGGGACGGAGAAACGACTACCTCCTAAGAGTCCGTGGCACCCCTGGCTGGATTTGACACCACCCGGGGGCAGAGTTCGGGAACCACTAACCAAAACCAGTCGGTGGTTCACACCAGTTAGTGTGTTAGGCTCAAAATGGGTCGGACTGGGGTCCAAAGGGATGAGGAATTGGCCCCCCTCCACTTCAGAAAACACCACCGCACTGAATTTCATTCTTACGGTGCGATCGGACCGCAGGAATGGTGTGCCTCTGATCCCAGTGGAAAGGGTTGCTTTGCTGCCGGCGATCTTCCTTCAAGGGACCTTTCTGTTTGCCAGGGGATCACTCCCGCCTGTCCCCACCCTCAGCCCTATCGCTGGACCAAAAAAGATCCCGATCGAAGTCAAGCTGGAGTGCCTTTCCTCGTAAGGTGTGTGATCACCAGGAAATAAATCACACCGCACTACTCACGGAAATGCAGCTTATTTCCCTGTGGGATCACACATCCTTAGAGTGTTTTGCTGCTTCACCTCGGTCCCTTTCTCCCTGACGGCTAAAGATCATAACCTGTCTCCTGCTTATTCAAGGTAGTGGGTGATAAAATCCCTTCTTTATGTATTAAATGCTGATGATCGTCCGTAAAAAAGAGAGCGAGGACTGGCCCCTAAGGTGACTAACGACCACTTCCTTTGCGCACAGAGTCCGACAGCCGGGAACTTCAAGAGGCGGTCAGCAAAACCACCTTCCAGCATGTCTTCACCAACCTCGAGCCCTCGACGACCTATTCCATCTATCTGAAGGCCTACTCGCCCCTCGGTGCCAGCCAGGACTCCCAGCCCATCCTGGCCACCACGTTGGGCAACAGTGAGTTTGGCCCTGACTTCTACCTCCCCCCGCCAAGAAAGAGATCCTGCTCCCCTTAGGGGTGGCACCGTATTCTCTCCATGAGATTTAAAGGGGAGAGTGCCTCTGTGCATACACAGGCTTTCTCCTTCCAGTTTCGACGGTGGAGGAGTGGTCCGGTCGCTCACTGGGATCTCCCTCCCTTCCAGTCCCTGCCGCGTTGAGCTTCTTCACCAAAGTCTTGAACGCCAGTGCCATCCAGGTCTTTTGGGAGCTCCCCACCAAGCCGGGCCGAATCGAAGGCTTCAAGCTTTACCTCCGGAAGCTGCCCGAGGGCCACTACGAAGGGCCCCATCTCTTGCCTGGCACGACCAACTCCTTCGTCTATAGCGACTTGGGTGAGTCTCTCCCGCTCCTCTGACAGGAAGGGCGGCCGCTGGTTGACCCAGCCTGTGGCCGACCCGCAGAAGGCCACAGGTTCAAATCCTGCAACCTCCAGCTACGATTGAGGGAGCAGGAAAACACTGGGGGTGGTGGTTAACGGCCGCATGGTTACGCCACGAAACATGCCACGAGGTGGGTTTTCCACCCGCAAAAATGTGCGTATGGGGATCAAATAAAAAGTGGACCCGGACGTTCGGCTCTTTGACTCAGCCTGTTCCCCGAACTTCGTTCTTCTGCATCAGAAAACTGCAAGGGAAATGCAATAATAATAATTTAAAAAAATACTGGCAGGGTTAAGCATCACTAGGTGTATCTGTGTGGCTCATACAGACATCGTGTTCCTTGGCTTTCCCTGTTTGATTGTTCTCCCCCCCCCAAGATCTTGGGAAGAAACCAAGGTGCTGCCCCCTAGTGTTGGCTACCAGGAACTCGATTTCCAGTCTGGTCTCTCTCTCCCCCCACTCCAAACTCTTTCCCCCAACAGAGCCCTCCGCCCTGTACGAGATCAAACTTCAGGCCTTCAACGGGAATGGTGACGGAAACAGCAGCGCCCGATTTGTCTCGCTCAAGGAGAACTCGGAGCGGATGGGTAAGGAGTGTGCATGAGCCATCATACAATGCCTCATTCTGCCCCCCTCACTGAAAAACTCCACGCATGATAGAAACCTACCTTGAGATCATCAACTCCTTCGCATGGCACAGACGTATGGGAATGACAGGAGGAGGGGAGGGGCCGACGAATGGCTACCAGCCATGAGAGGGTTGGGTGGAACCTCCATGTCTGGAGGCAGTCTACCTTTGAGTGTCTGGCACCGCACAAAACACCACAAGAACAAAAGGTTTGACGTTGCTGGACTTGTGTTATGCTCTGAAGCCCAAGAGCCAGAAGGCCCTAGGGCTTGGCGCTCCCCTTTCCCAGCTTTTTGGCTTCCTCCCCGCCAAACCTGTCCTTTGCCCCCTCCCCAGACGCCAACTCGGTGTGCCACTGTGGTCAAGATGGGGAAAGCTCCCTCGCCGGAATCGTGGTGGGAGTTCACATAGGCATGGCGTGCATCATCTTCTGCGTCCTTTTCCTCATGTTTGGCTACCGCAAGAGGTGAGTGGAAAGGCTGGGTGTCCGTCTCGACACTCTCCTCCTCCTTCCAGGGGTAGGTGGGGGGCATCAGCCTTGCAGCCCGGAGGGGAGCATGATTCACAAGGATGGGAGTTCTGGGGTTTCTCGGACCAAACATCCCACAATGCTCCATTCTAGGTGTTCTGCTTGATTTTCACGCGCCTTACAAAGATCTAAATGTGGCTCACCTGGGAGGAAAGGACTAAACTAATCTTAGCTAGGCCTAGCTCCTCCTTAACTTCCTGTTCCTGCCCCAGTGCTAGCTGGGAGCATTCTGTCTGAACAGGAAGCTAGGCCGAGCAAGGCCTCGAAGCTTTCAGTTGAGGCTTTTCTCCCAGGTGAGCCACAGGTCTCTTTAAGGTAATATTCCCAGAATGGAAAATGATGGGATTTGTAGTCCAAAGAACAAAACCTCCTGTTCCTGGCCTTGGTGCTAGCTGGGAGCTTCTTTCTGAACAGGACATTAGGCAGAAATACAGCCTGTGCGGTGGGAGATTTTAGCTTCCCCTCCGCTTCAGGACTCATCATGTCCTTCTTGTTTTCTCCAACAGCTTGTTCTGCAAAAAAGGGACCCAGGAAAGCTGGACTGTTCCCCAGGGGTCTGAACCCATCCAGACCACGGCCCAGGAGCCACTCCGTAGCCAGCGGAAGCTGGAGAGCGGGGCAAAGCCTTCTGAGATGGTGGAACTGGTCACTCAGGTGAGAACGTGTTGTATGGGTCGGGCAGAGAAGCCAATCTGTTAAAGCTGTGGGGTCACAGCCCCATAGGAAAAGGGGCAGAGATGTCATGGAGCAGGAGGGAAGCTGTAAAACCAGGGGAAATTGGTGGTTTCCTAGATGTTTTCAGCCGACAACACCCATGAGTAGGAAGGAGGGTCATGTTTGAAGACCACCCTTCTAAGGTATATCTAAAACATTGAGTTACCCAGCCGTTAAATAATCTTAGAATGGCAATGCTGGAAGGGATCCTACAGATCATCAAGCCCAGCCCGTTAGGAAGGCCCAGCGGGGAATCGAACTCCCAACCTCCCAACCTCATCATCTGTGGGTGATGGAAAAGTGCGTGGAATCCTTCCGGAGGTGTAAAGCTCACTTTATTTTCCTTTCTTATTCCTGCAGAATCTCTCACCCTCGGGCGGGCTCTCCACCCGCGACACCCCGCATTTCGAGGTGACCGTCGAGCGCTGCCTTCCGGCCCAGCCCAGCGGTTAAGCCAACGGCGGCGGGCGTGGCATAAAGAGAAGCCCCCTAAGGAGCAGGGTGCCAGCTCTGTAGAGGTTGGGCTTCCCTTTTGACCCCACCGCCCGTCTGGGAGTTTGGCCGCAAACCTCCAAAGAAATCTACCTCACTGCCGCGGGAGCCTTCCGTACCCGGCCCCATTGCCGCCCCGTCACCCGACCGTTCATCTTCGCTTTGCTCGTATCCCTGGAATGATCTATTTTTGATACAAACGCCAAAACTACCTCAACCCTGCCGGTCGCTCTGGCCTCCAAAATAGACCTTCCTCTGCCTTCTCTGGAGGAGGGAAGAAAGGCCAGAGAAGGGGGCGAAATGGGGAGTCTGTTTTCTGCGGCTTCTGGAAGCTTCCCAGAATCTGAGGTGGCCACCATGACATGGCTTCTCCTCTGTCTTTGTGTGGCTGCTCCACGGCCGAGAGAGAGGCGGCCCACAAATTGCACCAAAGCCAACCTTGTCATGGAGCATCATGGCTTTGGAGAAGCTGAGGAAGGGGGGAGGTTGAGGCCTCCCAGTTAGTTCTCGAGGAGACCTTTGCTCCCCTTTGGATGGAGGGGCCAAGGATGGGTCCTTCCCAGCAACCCTACCGAGGGTGCCCGGGCGCTCGGCACCGACATACCAAATATCGCCAAACCAAAAGAGGGAGGCCAGCCTCCCCCAACCCAAGTCAACGTTCCTTGCGTTGGCCACCCGCTCCCCCCATTGGCCACCTCCCTCCTCTGTCACGAGGCGGTGTTGGGGGGGGGAGTAACTTCACCCAAACCCTCCTTTCCCCTTTTCTTCAGCTCCTCTCGCTGCTTCAGAGTATCTTTTTTTGCGATATATATATATTATATATATGATGTCTCTATCCAAATATTTTTGAAGAAGGTCCACGATAGTTGCTGTACGGTTTCCAAAGATGTAGAGCTTTAATGGTGTTGGCAGACAAGAGCCTTCATCATCTTTGTGTGCAAGGATTGGGGGGAGGGCCGGGCCAAAGGCCAACGTTCAAGGGCCACCACTGGCCTAAGGGGGACGTCCACTGGAGGTAGAACGTTCAGCTCTACCGCCCATGTGTCCCGAAAGCTCTTCAGTTGTAAAGGGGAACTTATTTGCTGACGCACCAAAAAGGGCCACCTCGATGCTAACTTTCAGGCAGACCACGGAGACTCAAGTCCAAATAACTCTGTTCCAAAGGAGGATCAGTTCTGAACCTTAATTAGACCAAGAACCCCTTTAGAACTCAATAGCTTCCATCTTGGAAGATCTTGTGATCCTCTGTTCGGATAACGGGATTTGACCCAAGCTCCTCTCCTCCTTATTCTCCATCTCCTTCTTTCTTTCCTTCTTTCCTTCTTTCCTTCCTTCCTTCCTTGTCTATCTAGCCCTTCTTGGACACCAACGCTGACAAGGCAGGGTAAGGAGAACCTTAGCTTGACCGGGGTCGTCTTCAAAAATCACTCCCCTTCTGAGCAGATGAAGTTAGCAGCCCAGAAACATAATCTACTCTTTTTGCAAATTTCTTAACTCAAGAGTAATCTCATAGAGGCATGGAAGACGAGTGTAGTGACTCTGGAACATAAATTCTGGATCTGAGGTCTCAGGGTTAAACTAGATGAAATATTTATCATCTTTCTTGCACAGGTGGTGATAGATTTTTTTTTGATAGTGTGTAAATCTCCTCACTTATGTATTTTGCATTAGGCATGCTTTCTTTTGGGAATGACCACTGGAAGGTAAATGGGCACATAGATGAGGAAATCTGGGGTACACCCTCCCCTCAAAATACGGTCTCGCTTTCCTTTGTTCTCACAAAACCCAATTCTCCTCGTTAGGGGATGGAAGGCAGAAATATGCATACAATTATAGCAGGACACCCCCACCCACCCCTGTATCCACGGGGGATTAGTTCCACGCCCCCCTGCTGATGTAGAAAACTGCAGATAATAGGAAACGCTATACATAGCATGCTAAAAGAAAAGAAATCCAGAAAAAAATATTTTCATAATCTATTTGCCGGAACCGTCTCTCTCTCTAGTGGCCTATTCTAGTAAGTACATTGTGAAATAAGGACTGTGTTTTTCCGTTTATAAGATGCCCCGATGTATAAGACGACCCCCACTTTTCTGACCCCAAATTAGAAAATTTGATCCCTGCTTTCCCCCACCACTTCATAAGCCGAGGGCTTAGCAAAAGGAGGGGGAAAGCAGGGATCAAAGCGTGGCAGGATCGCTTTGATCCCTTCTCCCCGCCACTTGTTTTTGTTATCGCCTCTGCTTACTTCCGTGTATAAGACCCTCAATTTTTATACACAGAAAAATACAGTATATCAAAGTTTTTTTTCTTAAAAAAAATATTTTCAGACCACAGAGAAATGAAAGAGGGCTTAGCAAAAGGAGGGGGAAAGCAGGGATCAAAGCGTGGCAGGATCGCTTTGATCCCTTCTCCCCGCCACTTGTTTTTGTTATCGCCTCTGCTTACTTCCGTGTATAAGACCCTCAATTTTTATACACAGAAAAATACAGTATATCAAAGTTTTTTTTCTTAAAAAAAATATTTTCAGACCACAGAGAAATGAAACTGCTGATACATGTTTTTTTTTATAAATATTTTCAGACCACAGAGAAATGAAACTGCTGATACAGATCCCACAGAGATGAGGGTCCTACTGTGATTTACTAGTCCACTGTCCTGGATCAAATGATCTATGAAGCCATTCAGCTCCCAGTGGGGTCAGATTTTGCTGGGTCTCACCTATAAACTACCAGGGCTGTCCAGATTCCAGCGTGGCTCCCATCCTGCATCACTACCACTAGACTTGTCTTCACTTGCTCAAGGGGACAACATTTTTGAGATAAATTGACAATAAACCCTAGAAAAACATATCACGTGAAGAACAGCATAAGGAGGCTGTTGTGATGGCAAGGCTTCAAGCGTTGTTCCTAGGAGCATGGTCCACGCCCATTCCGGTCAGCTGGGGAGTCCTCTTTTCTGTCCTTTCTGATCTGACTGTCAACAATGTCACAAGATGCGCGGGGGAGGGGGAGGAATGCACACCCAGGCAGCGAGACTGTGTTAACTCTCTCCTTCTGCAAAAGATAGTTCCACTCGTCTCATGGAGATGTGATTCTCATTGTGTGCTTGTGGGATAACAAAACCCCGAACCACTTTGATCCAAAGCTTTGTGTACGAGAAAAGGGGGGGGGGAGAAATAGTACCACTAGGTAGACTTTTTCCTGACACTTTGCTCTCTTTCCCCTTAGAGTATCTTCTCTAGGAAACATAACCAAAATAAACCCCATTTTCTTCTTCCTTCTTCCTGCCAAAAAATATGGGGAACCCAACCTGGACCCTTTTCTTTTGGATTATTTTAGTGTGATAGATGAGCCCGATATTTTTTCATAGTTGATGAGAGTTGATCTTTCCCCTTCTCCCTTTCGAGAGAGAAGGTGCCTCTCAAAAGAGAAGAGGCATCCACAGTGGTTCTAAGGTGAGGCCGAATGACAACACAGAGGCTGTTTCCGACACTGGGTTCGAACTGGAGGCTGTTTTTCCCCCCCAGGTTTGGGTTTCAAATGTCCCTCGTTCTCCACCAAGAGGAACCAAAGGTCTGTTTCAAATTGATATTGTCCACTGATGCTCAAAGATGCTCACTTTGGTGAGCCCCACGGGTGCAAGAGAGGCGCACTTGAGATATTGACTGTATTGCTTTTTAAAAAAACTACACCGATGATGATTGAAGAGCCCTTGAAATTTAGGCTCTTTGTTGGTTAAGA